GGGGGGGGGGACTTGAGGCACCACCTGACAACAGCAGCATATTCCAGACAACATGAACTTAACAACTCCTTGGTGATGAGTGAACAGGGACACTTAAGCCTGTCAGTTTCATAAAGCACATTTCATACTCCCCAACAACACGATATGGAGCTCACTTTGGGTCTAAACTTGTTTTTGAAATAGAAAAGGCTAATTCATTGTCTTATCCGACTTGGTTTCAGAGCCTACATTAACCTCGCTGCTGAACTGGGACTGTGGGTGATTTTACGTCCAGGGCCCTACATTTCCTCTGAGCTGGATCTAGGAGGGCTGCCAAGGTAGTATTCTTTACATTTAATTTAAAATGAATACCCAAATGTATACAGGATTGCATCTTACATTTTTTTCTTTGTATGTATAAAACAAGGATGCAGATTTAGATAAATTGAATTAGATTATATACTTTTTTATCCTAAATTGGGAATGTTTTTGTTACAGCAGCATGTAAAAAGTCCATGCACATAAATACAAAATAGACAAACAGTAAATATATACTTAAAACAAATAAAAACATTTATATCTACATAGTAAAAAAATACAAAATAGACAATCTAAAACTATAAAGAATACTAACCTACTACCGCTAAATAAACTACAAATAGGGTATATAGATTCAACCCCAAAGTAGGTCCAAAAAGTTGATGTCGTTGAATGAAGGTATTTAATTTGCATGTAACTTTATATCCGTAGCCCAAAATCAATCTAGCTGAAAAATAAAGTTGCTACTTTTGAGGTGAGTGAGCTGAATAAATCACATGTTGCTGTAAGGGAAGACATTGAAGCATCGTCCAGCAATTTAAAATTCTTAAATTCCTGAATGAATTCATGCTAAGCCTTACTCTGCCTCTGTTGTTCTGGCTGCTCTTGGCTTCAGGAATAACTAAGCTTCTTGTTTCCTGTGTCTTCGCAGCTGGCTCCTCCGTGATGGCAGCATGAAACTCAGAACCACTTACCCAGGCTTCACTGATGCTGTCAATACTTACTTTGACAAACTCATACCAAAAGTGGTTCCACTGCAGGTCAGATTAGTCACTAAAGCTGAAACGAGGGGTTACGTATGGTAACCCTTGTTATATAAGCACAGGCGGAGCCCTCTACTGGACTCTATGGGTACTACCTTATCATGCAAGCTTTCACCTACTGAGACTTCTATAGACGTAGCCGGCCCCGGGGCGGGCCAACCTGATTGCGCGCGCATCTCACCGTATAAAAGAAGGCCTCACCTCCTGACCGTCATCCTCCACCTCTTTTCAGCGAGCGGTATAGGACAGACAGCCCCGAGTAGAGGGCTCCGCCTGTGCTTATATAACAAGGGTTACAATACATAACCCCTCGTTATATCTCTCACAGGCTCACGCACTGTCATCCAACACACCGTTCCACCTCACTGTCCCTGACCGGCTTTAGCAGACGCTGTGCCTCACTCACCTCTCCCTCGGTTGTAACCGTGGAGAAGTCCGGGCTGCGGCTGACGGAGCACACCCTTACGCGCTTACCTCGCGAAAAGTGTGCTCGGAAACAGTGCTGAGGGCTCCCCCCCGCCCGCCTATAGGCAGACGGAGAAAATCCCCAGCCCTGTATGGGTTCACTATGCACCACCTCTCCCGAGTCCCTAAGTAGCACGGGGAGATCGCAANCGGGCTGCTGCTGACAGAGCACACTCTGATGCGCTTACCTCCGAAAAGTGTGCCCGGAAACAGTGCTGAGGGCTCCCCCCCCGTCCGCCTATAGGCAGACGGAGAAAGTCCCCAGCCCTGTATGGGTTCACTATGCACCACCTCTCCCGAGTCCCTAAGTAGCACGGGGAGATCGCAAGTGCCCCCATGTCCCCCACACTCAGACACTGACCCCGTGCAGAGTGTGTGTGGACTATAGTGTGGAGGGCTCCAGCCCCGTAAGGGCCCAGTGCACACTAAGTCCCCCGCGACCCTCCAGGGGGCCCGGAAAAAACATTCCTGTGGGTCAGATGCCAACTGACCCACAGCTGACTCACGATTCGATTACGATTATCCTGTCTTCGATTATTAGATTCGATATCACGATTCATACCAATGCGTTGCATCCTCAATTTTCTATATTACTGCACATGGCTTCTTTTTCAGAAAAAGAAGCCATGTGCAGTAATATAGAAAATTGAGGATGCAACGCATTGGTATGAATCGTGATATCGAATCTAATAATCGAAGACAGGATAATCGTANTTTCCAGAGCACACATGTTATGATATTAGGGTCATGCAGAGTGAGATGAGATCGCTGTCCCTTTAAGATAGAGAGAGAGGGGTGTGGCTTGTGCATGTGTGTTTGTGGATGGTAGAGCGACAGTGAGGGAACGTGTGTATGTTTCTGGAAGTGAAACGAGGAAGCAGAAAAACAGAGGTCTGTGATGTATTTTGTGAAACAGAAGAACAGCTAAATAAATGCAACGGCCTCCCAAGAAGAGCTCGCCTCTCTCCAGTCATTTAAGCTAAAGTGGGTTATTGAACCTGAAGCTTGTTGCTTCTGCCCTCCTCGACTACGGTCTGGGAGCCGACAGGAAAGTGCAACACACAGATGGCCAGTCCGCCCCTTTGTAGCATATTATTTCGATGAGAGATGAGCAGATCGCCACTGGGCTTTCAACTAAATACACAGCCACGCAAAAACTGCGGCATTTGTACAGCTCCTTTTGGGTACTGCAATTAGTGAAGTGCTTTCCTCCGTGGTGAAACGATCAGCACTGCACCCCGGAGGAAAGCGGCAGAAAGTCACCTGGAGTTAAAGAGAGCGGGGATGCGTTGCGTGCATGGCTTCCTTCTGCAGGTAACGGGGAGACGCGCTCTGGCGGCGGTCTCTTTAAGGATCCGAAAATACAATTTAAATATTTTGCACACTTATTCCACTTATTCCTAGTGTGCCACTGGTTACGGTGCCGCGTGCCAGCATTGGCACGCGGCACCGTAACCAGTGGCAGTGCCAGGGGTTGCCGACCCCTGGCTTAGCCTAATCGATCAGTGCACTACGAAGCCAGTGCTAGACAGTGAACTGTCAACAGGGGGAGCCCCGCCGGTCATTATCGGCCGATACTCACTCTCAGGGGCGGACTGGCCATCGGGACGTTCAGGACGAATCCCGATGGGCCGGTACTGAAGTGGGCCGATTGGACGATATGGGCCGGCCGGTAACCGGCAGGGCTCGGCATT